GGTGGCAGTATTAACTGGGACAATTTTATATAGAAAGCCAATCTATTCTCTAAAACACAAGTTAGAGTATGCGACACCCAGATTAGCGGTGGCAGTATTAACTGGGACAACTTTATATAGAAAGCCAATCTATTCTCTAAAACACAAGTTAGAGTATGAGACACCCAGATTAGTAGTGGCAGTATTAACTGGGACAACTTTATATAGAAAGCCAATCTATTCTCTAAAACACAATTTAGAGTATGAGACACCCAGATTAGTGGTGGCAGTATTAACTGGGACATGATATGTATAATGATCAGGGATCAGTTGATAGTTATACTACTGGTATGTCAGGACTAGTCTAGTGAACCGTGTCGTTCTACAGTGGAATACAATAGCAGCTCTTTTGTTTGGACCTAACATGCAAGTTGTCTGAGTTATTCCCTGATTAAGTACAAACTGGTTTACTTATTTATGAGACACAATAGTATAGCAATAATAGAACTTAGTATGTGAAACAGAGGTATACACCCCTGAAGGGAAATACTGTACACTTTAATAGGAAACTGCTGTACTTATACAGGTACTGTAGATTTAGAATGATATATCAAACATGGCGTTCATTGACAGACATGAAGTCATGTTAGATGTACTTCTGAAGGAAAATGGAAAATTGTAATCTACTACTGAAAATATCAAACTATACATCATTACTTCGTCCATGTAAAATATGAATTAATAATTATGTACATACAGATAATTACAAATGTACAATTTAATAGAAATATGAATTGACTTCAATACTTCAGGAATGAATAGACTTTTTTTGATTGTATAAAGAAGGACATGATAAATGTATTAAGTAACAGTACTGTAGCTAGCCATGGTCGTACATTACAGAATGGGTTGGTAGAGGATGAGGAGCCCCTGGACCTGAGCTGGCCAGATAATTGGAAGAAACGGATCAACTATGTCATCGTTGCTCCAATCATTTATGTTCTTTGGATCACACTGCCTGACGTGCGACGAGAGGTAACAGTGTAGCTCGAGTCAAATTGTGAAGTTCCGTAGGAACTAAGTTCTACTGATCTAATGGAGATCGGGTTATATTGACCTCTTGATTAAGAACCAATGATGACATTCGTTATACAGTCTATCTTAATCAAAGGTTTCATGCAAAAATTCTGACAACATGCCTTTTGCCCATTACTATTACATCACATCATATGATAAAACATTTAATGGAGCATAAAGTTGTCTTAAATCAAAATATCATGGAGGTTAACTAATTGTATTTGAACAATTTAACTTAAACCTTTTTTATGGTTTTACATTCTAATATAATTTCGTTGATGCATACTTTCATGTTGGTCGGTTTTAACTGAAGTTCATTGATTCTTAATTCTTTATAGATTCACTGTACTGTGAACAATCTCCTGTTTCACTATATATAGTGCTTGTTGCTATTGCAGGAGAAGAAGAAGTGGTTTATGGTCACATTCTTTGGCAGTATATTTTGGATTGGAGGTTTCTCCTATCTGATGGTGTGGTGGGCCAACACAACAGGGGAAACTATTGGATTAACTCCTGCGGTAGGTCCTCTATCTTCTGTGCCTCTTGGCGTTGGTCTGAAGTTTATGCTTCGAGAGAATAATCAAAATGTTTCTGGACAATGTACTACAGCTAGGGTTATGTAACGTAACATGCTTATACACCTGTAATGTTTATGGACAATGTACTACAGCTAGGGTTATGTAACGTAACATGCTTATACACCTGTAATGTTTATGGACAATGTACTACAGCTAGGGTTATGTAACGTAACATGCTTATACACCTGTAATGTTTATGGACAATGTACTACAGCTAGGGTTATGTAACGTAACATGCTTATACACCTGTAATGTTTATGGACAATGTACTACAGCTAGGGTTATGTAACGTAACATGCTTATACACCTGTAATGTTTATGGACAATGTACTACAGCTAGGGTTATGTAACTTAACATGCTTATACATCTGTTATGTTTATGGACAATGTACTACAGCTAGGGTTATGTAACGTAACATGCTTATACACCTGTAATGTTTATGGACAATGGACTACAGCTAGGGTTATGTAACTTAACATGCTTATACATCTGTTATGTTTATGGACAATGTACTCCAGCTAGGGTTATGTAACGTAAAATGCTTATACACCTGTAATGTTAATGGACAATGCACTACAGCTAGGGTTATGTAACGTGACATGCTTATACACCTGTAATGTTTATGGACAATGTAATACAGCTAGGGTTATGTAACGTAACATGCTTATACACCTGCAATGTTTATGGACAATGTACTACAGCTAGGGTTATGTGACGTAAAATGCTTATACACCTGTAATGTTTATGGACAATGTACTACAGCTATGGTTATGTAACGTAACATGCTTATACACCTGTAATGTTTATGGAAAATGTACTACAGCTAGGGTTATGTAACGTAACATGCTTATACACCTGTGATGTTTATGGACAATGTACTACAGCTAGGGTTATGTAACGTGACATGCTTATACACCTGTATGAATAGCTGGATTTAAACCATATTTGTCTTGAATACTCTTGCGGAAAGGGGACTCATTTTTTAAAACGGAGAATGTGGCCCCTGGGGGCAGAAGGTCCGGGTCCAATAGGTGAAATAGAGGTAATGAAATCAATAAAATCCTTTATCTTGCATATGGATGGAGGCTTTTTTATCCCCACCCTATAACCAAATATACAATTGCTAGGCATGAAAGGAAGAAGACATTCATGCTTCCAAGATTGGCTTGGATGTTGAGAACTACCTGTGGGGACTAACTCTCCGGTTCATAACCTTGGTGTCTTACCCACTCAAAAGGATTTTTCCTTCCTGCAGCTTGATTTCTTACACTCCTTTAATAAACTGTTTTGTTATTCAGCAGGTTTTAAATTAAAAATAGAACACCAGGAGAGCTATTAAGGTCCAATTTTTGTCAAACTAAACACTTTCACATTTTTTGAGCGTGTAGCATTGTTCAAAACTCTTATAATAATAAAATAATGAAAAGAAACATTGCTAATCAACCCTACAAATATTTTATTTATCATAAAATATCTACAACATGTTACAAAAAGCGTTTTTTATTGAAACTATATGGATAAAAGTTACTAAATACAAGCCAAAATCAAACAGGACACATAGTTTCATACAAAAAGAGTGAAAAATTGAACCAAATACACAAAGTCTTTATAATTAATTTACTTTACATTTTACAATTATTTTGATCCTGATGAGAGTTGTCTACCTTGAAAAAAATCGGAACTTTTTGCAGAGGGATAGAATTTATACAATGACACTTATTTTATTTAATATACCAAAAAAGACGGAAATAAATTAAATTACTATATTTTATAGGGATCTTGATATTTTACAAACCACTATTTTCACAGAGTTATTGTAATTGCATTTGTGAACCGATTTATCTGACAGAGCGTACCTCGCTCGACAACAAAAGTCGTAACAACCAAGAGCTTGTTTTGTGAACTACTGTTAGCACGTGATACGTACAGGTGAGGTCGGTAAACAAAACGCATCAGGTTGCATTCCATGCGCCTCATATACGACCTTCTTGAAGTCGTCTGATCGTATGTCAGTGTTTTCCCCTGAGTTAATTAATGTCTTTGTATCATAAGCTTTATTTCTGAAGTACGTGTGATTACACATTTCCAAGTTAAGTCTCGATATCACGTCACGCACGTGTACTATTGTTTACCCGGTGTTACTATAATTTACACTACGGTAATGGAATGCCCAATACGCAATACGGAAATGACAACACGAAAATACGACAAGAAAAACATGTGTATTACGTAGGGTGGAAAGTCCTTAAGGCCTTCACATGTAGTCAAATACTGGGGTGTACAGTTACCCTAGCCACACACTTGGGGCAGTAGATTTTTTGTCAATACGACTGAAATTTTCAATATTTACTATAGAAATATATAGGTGGTCTGGTAGAATTTGACGGACATTGAAGGTCACAACTCGCATGTATCATGTTTTAACATCAAATGAATCAAGACACCGACACAAATGTTGTTTTATTGGCCTATAGCTGGCGGGGACAAAGGGCTGTCAAGTTTGTTAAAAAAATGCCTGACTTAATTACATTAAAGACCATCAGAGTCAAATGAGTTACAGTACTAGTAGATGATTACCGGCCAGGTGGGCAATGCTGGCCACATGGGCCTCTTTGTCAGATATATTTTTCAAAATTATAATTCATGTACAATTTAATGAAAATTACAAAACGTGTGTACAATTTCCAGGGGGTGTACATAAATGTAATTGCCCTAACAGTTAGTACATACTCCTTTGCTTCTTTGAATTTTTGAAGCTACATATTGAAACCTGAATTAGAGTTAGAAATATTGATAGGCTTATAATGTTTTGTTTGCAGTACTCATTATTTAATTGAATTGAAACCAGTTTAAGGAGTTGGAAAGAGATTATAATTTTTAAGTTGCTTTGAGAGAATAAAACTTGTAAATTTGTGACCTAATCTGTACACAGGTGATGGGTCTGACCATTCTAGCTGCTGGCACAAGTATTCCGGACCTCATAACCAGTGTGATTGTGGCAAAGAAAGGCTTTGGGGACATGGCTGTATCCAGTTCTGTAGGCAGTAACATCTTTGACATCACCGTGGGGTAATTATAGTCCTGTATCTCTGTTACTTGCGTATTTCAAAATAGTTTTATCCTTACATGTTAATATATTTGTCCTGACATTTTATTGATAATATACCCTATACTGAAGTTTCATTGATGTTTACTCTAAAAACTGTTCCTATTACCTGCAGGTTGCCAATACCATGGTTGCTGTATGAGGCAGTGTATGTTGGAAAACCCATCGATGTTGACAGTAATGGACTGGCATGCTCAATATGTCTGCTGTTTTTAATGTTGATGGCAGTGATTATCTCAATAGCAGTATCGAAATGGCGGATGAGTCGAACGCTTGGTATCAGCATGTTGGTGCTTTACGTGATTTTCCTGGTCCTCAGCGTGTTACTAGAAATAAATGTTGTGCCATGTCCTATCGAAGTTTAAATGATTTAATACACCTTTGTAAATATACACTGTACATACATCTTTACCAAGATGGATTTCGTGATATTGGAACAAAATCTGTAATTTAACAAGAATTCCTTATTGCTAATGAAAACTGTGATGTTTGTATATTTCTTCAAATTTGCATTTATATTAATTTATGTAGTTTAGTAAATCAATAATTTTTATTTGGTTTTATTTTCAACTTTTTAACATTATAATATTGTATATTTGTCAGGTACGTGCTATTCTGAACACTGTTAAAAATGTGGTCTTGAGACTTTGGTGGTAAGCAAACGAAATGGCTGGACTAACATAATATTATATTGATTTGTTTTGGTAGTGCCTAAAAATTGCCATGGGTTTTGTTTATGGCTCCCAAAGTAAAATCTGTTTCCAGTTAACTGAACCATTGCAAAAAGGATCTGTTTGTGGCATTTGTCAGAGTTGTATAAAAAGAAGCAGTGCCTCCTTTATCATTTTATGTCAATAGTGAAGACAAAAGTCTGAGAAAATCTCTGCATAAATTTAGATGTTCTCGTGTTATTTAATAGAAAATACTGATATAATACATAGAAAAGATGGACTATCACCGAGAAACAATACGTTGTCAATAAGTGTGCCTGATCCACTGTTCAATATTTTGGTAATAAACATGTATAAAATAAAACTGATGATCTTGTCTGGAATGCAAAAATTAATTTCTTAAAATATAATTACATCAGTGAGAATGGAAAGTGTTTTTATCTTGTGTGAATATTGTGGCCAAGATTAGATTTACACTCATCAAAATTGTTAAAAATGGTTGAATTAATTATAAACTACAGTAACATTCCAAAGTATAAAGTTTTAACCTAATTTGCTTGTTATCTTTCCCAGTTTTACATTTGACTTGTTCTGACCAGTACAACCAATGGTGTTGATGCCTTGTTAGGACCAATGTTGTTTATACTTCGTTTTAACCTACTTTACCAGGGTTAGGGTTTGATCCAACGTTACCAAGGTTGTTTATGTTTGTTTGATCCAACGTTACTAAGGTTGTTTATGTTTGTTTGGACCAATGTTGTTTGTGTTTGGACCAATGTTACCAAGGTTGTTTGTTTGTTTGGACCAACGGTACTGAACTGAAGTTGTACATGCTTTATTTGGCTCAACTTGACCACGGTTATTGAGGATTTTTTTAGAACTAATTACCATGTACTTTCCCCTGCCAAATGTGCTGTGATGTTTTTACATGAGATATTGTGTTGTTTATAAGTGAGCTGTGTTGTTGCACTTGTTGTCTTGTCACCCTCCAATGTATTGTTGTTCAGGATAAGGCCTTTACTTGATGATAGATGTAGACTTATGCAAGTCTGTGATAAAACCAGGAGGAAGAGACAACTGATTTAGTCATGTCTGTCTCCAGAGTTTGACAGCTACAGGACGGTAATACATGTACTAATTTCTGAAGATTATACCAATATGTCTTAACATGTTTTACAGATAACTTACACAAAACCAAAATTGATGTACCCAGAATGTTACTGTCATTCCAAAACTTGATGTCTCAGTTACTTTACTGTTTATGTATGTGTGCAATTTTACCAATGATACCTGATCATTTAAAAATGTGGCATAAACTGTGGTTTACCAATTAGAATTTGTATTGATCAGTACCTCTACTGGTACAGTAGGGACACTAGTCAGTGGTAATCCTACACAGATGTATGACGTGATAGTTTTCAGCAGTCTCCATTAATATGTTATATTGGTTTACCAGACACGCGAGACCAGCATGTTTCATGTAAATATACATGAATGCATATCCATGTTCAGATTCATTGATACTTGTATCGGTCTTTAATAATGAATTTGTAAGCAATAACAATAGCATTGTTTGTGTCTGTGTTCCGATTTTTGATACAGATGTAGCTGTTGTGTTGTCTCACCTGTAAGGATTGTCAATAATACTATAATCGATAACTGTTGGTTTATAATGCGATTCATGTAGAACGGAATGTCCACTAATTGTAGAAACCCTGAAATACAGGTGATGAACTAGTCATTTTAGGATAATGTTTCTTGAAAAAATGATAATGGGTTTTTCAGGTTTTTTTATAATACTGTTTGCCACAAGAAAGACCATGACAGTTTAGAGACAGAATATTGAGTTTTGTTGGCATTAGTTTCTGATACTTTATATGATTTTTAATAGTTGGCGATTAATTTGTACTGCGAGGAATACTGTGCTCATTGTTAACTAAGTTTTTCCTTAGGGTTGATTATAATTATAATAATTAAAACGTGTGATTTACAGACTTTATTGTCCACAAGTATGATAGCCTCCAAATAGGCTTGTTCTGTTTTATACATTTGTTATTGTTTTACAATATTTTAAATCAAAGTTCTGCAACAATTTAAACATATCTAATGTTAGCTCTGTGACGAGGGTAATTTTAAACAATTGACGAGGGTAATTTTATACAACCTTACGAGGGTAATTTTAAACAATGTGCATGTGACGAGGGTAATTTTAAAATCATAAACAACAGGATAACATGGGTGAAAAACAAATGTTGTGGTCTAAATTATTTAATCTTTGGACATGGATTCAATGTCAAAATGCATTATCAAAATTGATTTGTAATAGCTTTAAACAGAAATATAATAAAAAGTAAGGACCAATATTTTGATATACCCAATGTAATTAGTTCAGAAACCCAGTCTGAGGTATTCTTGTTAGATTAAAATTAAGTTTATATTTAGTTTGCATTGAAAAGTGAATTCCATTGATGACAGGAACATTTGTTGTGTGTAAATTTAAGAATTTATGAACATTTATGCACCAGTGTAATGTAAGTTTGTCAACATAGATACATGTATTACAACTTTATCTAGTTCCTTCACTACAGTACACTTGCAATGTTGGTGGATCATTGTCATAATCCTGTCAAGTTGATATTACTGTATACTTGTCTTGTTCAAGGTAAAAAACACAAAAAAACATAGGTATATGTTGGAAATATTTGCATTGATTTCATCTCTTATTTACCAGTAACTTGTAGCCCTAGTGATGGATCTAGTTTTAGTTTTGATTGGACATAGTTTAGGTTATTTAGACAAGGTATAAAGGTATGTTGTTAAAAAGTTATCCTTAATGCTAAGGAGCAGTTCTGTAAGTAGATTTTCAAACTGGTGCCGTGTTCCCAAATACAAGTTACTTGGTTTTGTATTGATCGTTTCTTACATATTTTTTTATTTTTTTATACAAAATCTGTTTTGAATGGTTTTGATTCTATATCGAGAATATCCCAGAAAGTTTATTTATCTGAACTTTTAAACTGATAACATGACAAAGACATTGCCATGAGAAAAGTCAACATTTTAGGATGAAAATACAAACTAATTTTGACAATGACATGCAATTACCTACTACAACAAAGCTTGTCAGGTAACAACATTTAGAGCAATTGTATATATTTCTAAGTTTCCTGGTTTTTGTTTGTTTAATATGACAATACATTTTATTTAATGAATGCATATTTTGTTGTTTTAATATGCATATAATTTACTGTGCATAATATCTCTTTAGTCAAATTTCATATTTTCTATTTTATTTTTAATACCAGTTTTCATACAACATGTTTTTTGTTTTCATAGATTTGTTTTACTTGTCAAGTATTATTTAGATTCCTTTACGATATTTAGCTTTATAACTTCTGAAATGAATCAAGATCGAAGCATTTTTTCCAAGTTCATGTCTTGGACGTGTTGTTCCAAATCAGAATGTCCAACTAAGCATGTTTAAATACGTACATGCATGATGCTTTGGTGTAGTTTCCATGTGTTAAGTGTGTTGTAGAAAAAACTAATCGTATTGTTAATATTTACCAACAAATATTGTTAAATGCATTCCAGGTTTTATTATTTTTTTAAATTGTTACAAAACTTGTTCTTGACTTAGAAACTAGTTTTGTCCAGATTTGTACTTTGTCGATTGTTATTAAATACATTGTAGGAGTGAATGTGGTAATTGTTCAGAATCTCATGATCAAATAGCATGACAATAGATATTTTACTTATTATAATGTAGAAACATTGTGACAACAGTTGAACTATAGAAGTTTGCCATTTCCGTCCTTCTGACAATTAAAGTTAAATTGAAAACTTAAATATCATGTTGTGTGATCTTTTCATGTCAAGACTGAAACAAATTTACAGAAGACTTTGTAAAATATCTTTGTTTTATGTTTATAAGTACATGAATTGTTTTAGCTTAGCAAGTTGTATAAAAAAAAACCAGATCAAAATCTGATCTCCGCTGCATAACTTAATGTGGTTATGATATCTATGGAGTACCATTTTTAGCCCAACATCATGTGATGGTGGGCTATTCAAATCACCCTGCGTCCGTCGTCCGTCCTTAAACAATTCTTGTTATCTGTATTTCTCAAGAAGAACCTGAGGAATCTTTCTCAAATTTTATATGTAGGTTCCCCTTGGTCCTGAGCTGTGCAGGGCTTTTTTGAGACTGATCGGATAAACAACATGGCCGACAGACAGATTCATCTTGGATTTTGATAGTGAAAGTTTGTTATCGCTATTTCTCAAGAAGTACCAGAGGAATCTTTCTCAAATTTTATATGTAGGTTTCTCATGGTCCTTAGCTTTGCAGTGCAATTTTTGAGATTGATCGGATAAACAACATGGCCGACAGGCAGCCATCTTGGATTTTGATAGTGAAAGTTTGTTATCGCTATTTCTCGGGAAGTACCAGTGGGATCATTATCAAATTTTATATGTAGGTTCCCCTGTTGTTGCATCAGTGCCAGCAATGGACGGTCGCCTGCTCGCCTATGGCGGTTAAAGTCTTGCTCGAGCGACCAAAAGCTGTCAAAAGTGAGGTAGTCTCTGGCCCAACAAAAATAGTTTGGGCGACTGTCGAAAAATTAATGAATAAAAGAAATGATAGTCCCTTCCACATTAACTGGGGGGCAGTACATTTTTCAGTTGTCATTACTTCGATTTGAATCGAACTGTCTGTGATTTAGAAAATGTGATGATTTTTTTTTCCATTTTTATATAAATACTGCCAGGGTATCTTCTTTGAGGTGCGAGTTTTGTGTATCATGTCAGGTTTTAACTAGGGTTGAAGAATTAAAAATATAATGTTTTATTCTGTTTTACATATTACAAACATTGTCATGTTATATGTAATTTAAATGTGCTGAAGCATGGTGTTAAATGCTATGGAAATATTTCTTCCCAAAATTATTTGGGCCAGTGCTTCAAATTTTTAACTCTCCCCAAAAAAAAGTATCGTAAACACAAGGTCCAATACAAAATAGTGTAATAATATTATTACGAAGGGCAATAACTCTGTCAAATAATTCCCATTTTCCAACTCATCCGAGATCTTATTGATATAAGGCCGCATACAAAGTTTCATCAAACTTGGTTGATAATTACTTAAGTAATCATGTTCACAAGGTCCAATGATAATATTATTACAAAGGGCAATAACTCTGTAAGTTACTGTCTAATAATTCCCATTTTCGAACTCGTCAGGGATCTTTTTGATATATGGCTGCATACAAAGTTTCATCAATCTAGGTTAACATTTACTCAAGTTATCGTGTTCACAAGGTCCAAAAATAATATTATTACAAAGGGCAATAACTCTGTAAGTTACTGTCTAATAATTCCCATTTTTGAACTCGTTTGGGATCTTATTGATATATGGCTGCATACAAAGTTTCATCAAACTTGAATAACATTTAATCAAGTTCTCGTGAACACAAGGTCCAATAATAATATTATTACAAAGGGCAACAACTCTGTAAGGTACTGTCGAATAATTCCCATTTTCGAACTCGTCTGAGATCTTTTTCATATATGGCTGCGTACAAAATTTCATCAAACTTGGTTAACATTTACTCAAGTTATCGTGTTCACAAGGAAAAGTTAACGCACGACAGACGACGACGGACAAAAGGCTATCACAATAGGTTACCATGACCATAGGTTACCATGACCTATGGTCAGGTAACCTAAAAATTTAACATACACAACTTAAATTCAAGGGGAACCTACATACGAAATTTGAGGAAGGTCTTTCTATTCCTTGCTGAGAAATAATAAAATAAATTTGAGCTGTAACAAGAGGCCCATGGGCCTTAACGGTCACCTGAGTCTATAGTATTTATTTTTGTTGTTGAAATATGTACCAATTTGAGTAAAAAATAGTATAATGTTAACTTAACTTTGTCAGGACCATGAGCTGATCATTCCTAGACCAATTTTAAGTGAGATCGGCCTATTAGAACTTAGTAGCAAAATAGCGGCCATGGCAGCCAAATTGTATTTCTGATTGACCCGAAAAATAACAACACTTTGTCAGGACCATGATTCGATCATTCCTACAAAGTTTCAGTTCAATCGGCCAAGTAGATCTTTACTTTAAGTTTGAAATAGTTTACCAAAATGGCAGCTGTGGTGGCCATATTGGATTTCTGATCGACCTGAAAAATAACAACACTTTGTCAGGACCATGAGTCAATCATTCCTACAAAGTTTCAGTTCAATCGGCCTAGCAGAACTTGACTTTAAGTTTGAAATATGTTTTCAAAATGGTGGCCGTGGCGGCCATATTGGATTTATGATTGACCTGAAAAATAACAACACTTTGTCAGGACCATGAGTCGATCATTCCTACAAACTTTAAGTTCAATCGGTCCAGCAGAACTTGACTTTAAGTTTGAAATAGGTTTTCAAAATGGCGGCCGTGG